AGCAACAGCAACAGCAACAGCAACAACAACAGCAACAGCAACAGCAACAGCAACAGCAACAGCAACAGCAACAGCAACAGCAACAGCAACAGCAACAGCAACAGCGACGATCTAATGAGCAGCGACTTAAGGGGCGGCAATCCAGTGGAAGGTGTTCAAATGAGTGGCAAACCTGTTGGCGGCATTCAAATGAGTGGCAAACCTGTCAGCGGCATTCGAATGGGCGGCAAACCTGTTGGCGGCATTCAAATGGGCGGCAACCCCATGTATGGCAGCAGGCACGTTATTGATAACAGTGGGTGTGAGAGTGATTCTGGTAGCGCTGCCAATGCTCTTGCTGCCGTTGCTGCTGCTCCTGCTACTGCTACTGCTGCCGGTTCTGCCGGTGATGCCAGTGCTGCTGTTGCTGGTAATGTGCCCAGTGCTGCTGCTCCGGGTAGGATGGTGAAGAGTAAGAGCATAGGAGGCAGCAGCAGGAGCAGGGGGTTGGTAGGGATGGTGCAGACCAGTAACAGCAGCCACAATGCAAGCACCAGATATGGCAGCAGCAACATTTCCAACAACAACAGTATTGCCAGCAGCAGCAGCAGCGTCGCCAGTAGCTTCGGCAGCAACCCTAACAGCAGCACTAAAGAACGAGCGGCCAGTGATGGGAATTTCGAGGCGCCTCAGCGGTTTGGCAGCAGCAGCAGCCCCAGCGGCAGTGCTAAGGAGCGAGCTGCCAGTGATGGGAATTGCAGTCCAAGGGTGGGCAGCATCAGACGGTGCGCCACTGCTGGTGGCCAGTCTTTATCGAATCCAAAGAATGCTTGTAAAGGAGCACTGGGTGTATGGCAACCTAAGCAGAGTGTAGAGCAAGAGAATGGGATGGGAGGGGAGTGCTGGAAGGGAGAGGAGGGGTGAGGGGAAGGGGAAGGGGAGGGGGAGGGGGTAGAAGAAAGGGGTTAGGGATTGGCACGTCCCATGAACATAGCATGCTGTATGGAGTTAGCATGACACATGCACATGGGCTATCCAAGGGTCTGTCCTGAGCAGCTTGCCCATTATGATACATTTACCTATAGTTTGCGTTTCATGGCATATCCAATGGTTACGAATGGTCGTTGTGCATTGAAAAGGTTGGTTTGTCCTGCCTTGCGAGGTGGTGCCTTCGTTACAACAATTAGGCAAGTAGTATTGCAATGTGGTACGTTTAAGCCATGTAGCAAACGCCGCCTAGCAAGCCCTTCCAGTGTGCTGGCTTGAAGTGAAGCTGATATTTTCGTTATGACAGTAACGCGGACCAGGACCCCTAGGTCCCCACTGGGCGTGTGCGCAACCCCGCTTGGCCCCCGGCATTAAATGGAAATTAAAGACTGCACTGTGCAAGCTCCAACTTGGCTGTGTGCCAAATCTTTCAGCCCAGCATTTTGCTTGTGGGCTACTGTTCTCTGGATGCTTCGTCTGTTTCTGGTCTGAACGGAGGCACGCGGTGAGGGTGAGGCGAGGTGAGCATCCAAACCAAATCCTTGACGTGTACGCCTCACTTTGGAGAATGTTGACATTTTGAGAGTACGGTTAGGTACGTACCTGACCGCGGTTAGGTCTAGAGAATGGGTACAGTGCCAGGGAGCGGGTCAGAAAGCTAGTAAAACACCTTATTTCTATGGGACTAAACAAGAATGGGCCGAAAGAGAATCTTTGGGACGGTCCCAAATTGTGTTTGTGCGGTGCAGTGCGGTATCGTCCCGCTGCTGTTTTGGCCGAAGGTCCCACTGTCGCGCGAAGGTTAATTTGGAGCCTGCTCTCCAAAAACGGATCGATGCAAGTCTCGATACACTCTAAATTTTCAGGCTGAGTGATTAACCATTGTTTGGCACTTGTTGAATATTTACGTAAGTGCTAAAGGGGCAGGGGTAGGGGAATTCGAACCCGAATTGACCACAGACTAGCCTGCTGGAGGTGCTGGGTCCAGCTTTCCTCTGCCCCTGTGTTGTCGTGCCCCCGGGGCCTGTGCCTCGGCGTCGGAACTGGTTCTCTCATCACACAAAAGAGGTGTCTCATGTTCCCGCACCAGAAGCCAAGCTCAGGCTGGGCGAGGAGGAACCCGGGAATTCCACGATGGCCCAGAAAAACAGGGGAGGCCTGGTTGGTGGTCCGTCGTGACACCCTAGCAGTCACTTGCTGTGACACAGCGTGACGTGGTAGTGTCCAACGTGGACGCCTGGGTAGCGCCTGGCTGACCACGCCGCCACCACCCCATCTCTTTCAACAAATGAAAAGAGGGATCACCCGAGCAAAAGATTCACTCCGTGGAAACAACTGTTGGTGGACTCCCCAAAACCTCTTATCCACGCGATTGGAGGGCCGCTCTCTCATTCGTCAGACCCAATTTGCTGGAGATATTGCGGCAGCAATGCGTGAAAAAGGGCGATCTGCATGAACTTTCTTCCTGGTCACGACGACTCGGGCTCGAAGTGGGTGGAATGGGATGGGAGGGGAAGCAAAGCAACACCAGCCACCCCATCCCGCACATCCCACCCCAACAAAGCTTTCAAGTTGCGTTTCGTACTGAACCAGCAGAAGGCTGAATCGGGCTTGTAGATAGTTGTTGACTCTTTCACCTTCAGTTTCCTCCGTACTTCAATTGTTGAGACACCGCGTGCTGTGCTGTAATTCTATTCGATGGAGGTAGCTGTCGAAGATGTCGTGACGCCGAGCCCATGTCCCTCTCACAAAGAGGACTTTGGCACATACGTCCTTATGGTACGATCGTTTTTATTCGAGTTACGTTTTTAAAGCAGTACTTCTCAGTTTCTTAATCTCAGCTCTGACAGCTGTCGTTGTCGAACTTGTGTCGCAGATTCAGCACTTGATAGAACGGTGTCTCGTTCTGGAACTGAGCCAAGCCGAGTGCATTGCGAGTCTCGCCAGAAGTGCAAGGATCAAGCCGGCCATAACCCTTGCAGGTATGTTCATTGCAACGAGTTCGATCGAGCTTGCATTTTGATGCGTACCATGGCTGACGATCTCGTTGTTTGTGCCTTTTTTTTTTTTTTTTTTTTCCTTTTCGCAGTTTGGAATGCTCTTGAGAAAGAAAATCCTGCTTTTTTCCGAGAGTACAATAAGAAAACATTCTCGCAGGCAGCGAGAATGGCGAGTCGTCAGAGGAGAGCCGCCGCCGAAGAAGAGTGCGCTGGAAAGGTACTCCATTGTCTGGAGCTGTGGCGAATCTCCTGATTCGGTAAACAACGACGAAGAAAAAGCTGCCAGCAGTGACTGACGCGTCGATCACATGACAGGAGCTAACGTAACAGCTATCACACATGAGGGTTGAGATTACTGGACTTTCAGAGAGCATGTGCTTCGCCAGACTCCGCCGCTGTACATACCATTCTTGGATGTCGGCGTAGCACAAGCTCCTGAACCAGAATTGAGGTGCTTTGGAGACGTAGATTAGGGTTTTTGGCTTGTTTGTGTGTTGTTCATAGAAGCATAGCGTGTGATGAGTGTGTTTTACGGTAGATGTTTTGTGTGTCTAGTTTGTATGTTCATTAGACACATTTGTCAATTACCATCTTTTGGTGTGCAAATAAGATACCAAGTTCATCTTCAGCGAGCAGTGAATATGTTATGGATATTTCACAACCATGGTAGTAATTGCTAACTGCAACTCACAGCTGACTGGTTTTCTTGAAACATATACAAACCAAGGGCCTACACACTGCAATATACATAAGATTCATATCTCAGGTGCCGGCCTCAATATTCCATAACTATTAATAATAATCGCCCAGCTTGCGATGGTGGGAAGCAGTGCGGCCCTCAGGCTTGGACACCTTCCCTGCAGTGACCTCAGCATAAGTGATCCAGTGGTCGTTGGTCTCCATGCGACTCACCACAGTGCACTCCAGGAACGCCAGGGATCCTGCCAGCACAGGCGACCCATTGCTGGCTGGGTCCCAGTCAACGCCCTCGAAGCGATCAGCTGGAGGAGGGGAAAGGGATGACATGGAAAGGAAGTAGAGACATGGCAGGGGCAAAGGGACTAGGATAAGCGGCGAGCTTTCAGTGCTTACACTGCTTGTGTTGGCTACACACGCAACAAATCGCCCGAGAAAATGGGAGAGGAAGTGCTGGCGAAAGGGGGGGAAGGGAGAGTAGGAAGATAAGGATTTTGGTGAATGCAGTGACACTCACCGCCAGGGGGGAAGCGCTTGAGGAAGTGCTTCATGAGAGGAGCGAAGTTGCCCTCCTCCAGACAGTTGAGCACAAAGGAGTCACCCACCTGCATGCAGAGGGACGAGGTAGAGAGTGGTGCAAATGGGTGTTAGAAAACAGGATGGTGAAGTCGGGGACTTAGATGAATGGGACTTGGGGAAGCATTCAACAAACTTGAACAAGCATTCAACAGAGAGGGCACAAAGCGACTTGACATACCCAGCCCAGCCAAGCCCAGCCCAGCCCAGCCCAGCCCAGCCCAGCCCAGTCCAGTCCAAACAACTGCACCCCATGCAGCACGCACCTGCATGAGCGACTCAACGGCTCTGTCCTTGGCCACAGCAACGGTGATGCCCGGTGGCTTCATTCAACCCAGCCCAGCCCAGCCCAGCCCAGCCCAGCCTACCCCACTGCACCCCAATGCATCCCACTGCACCCCCACGGAGCACTCACCTGCATGAGCGACTCAATGGCTCTGTCCTTGGCCACAGCAACGGTGATGCCCAATGGCTTGAAGCTCGCCTGTGGACAGAGAGAGTGAGTAGAGGGAGAAGGGAGAAGTGGAAGCATATAGGAGATGGATAGGTGAGGTTGGGTGGGTGGATACTAAGAAACACGCAGGCGCACATGCACACAGATGCAAAACACACAGCTAAGTCATGTACATTTCCCCCTCCCCCTCCCCCTCTCCCTCCCCCTCCCCCTCCCCCATTCCCCCCTTTCCTGCTCACTCCACCTGCACCCATGCGCACGCGCACTCACACACCTATGAGACCCAGGAGGTGATCATAGCGGCCTTGGAGGACCCCCTTGGTGACTTTTGAGTCGACTCAAAAGTCACCCCACACCTATGAACCCAGGAGGTGATTATAGCGGCCGTGGAGGATCCCCTTGGTAGCCGTGACCACGTACACCCAATCACCCCTCCCCACACAGCATGCAACTGGGGGACCCAGGAGGCGATCATAGCACCCTTGGACGCCCCTTTGATAGCCGTCACCACGTTCAGCCCTCCTGATACGCGCCCAATGGCCTTGGCCAGCACCAGGGGCATGCTGCGCCTCGCACATGCACAACATGCACAACATGCACAACATGCACAACATGCACAACATGCACAACATGCACAACATGCACAACATGCACAACATGCACAACATGCACACACATATCCACGCACACACAAGCAGCACACACCTGGAAGACCCAGGAGGCAATCATAACACCCTTGGACGACCCCTTAAGGGCCGTCACCACGTACAGCCCTCCTGACACACACCCACACGCACACCCACACGCACTCTCACACGCACACACATATCTACACACACAGAGCACGCACCTGGGAGACCCAGGAGGCGATCATAGCACCCTTGGACGACCCCTTAAGGGCCGTCACCACGTACAGCCCTCCTGACACGCGGGCAATGGCCTTGGCCACCGCCAGGGGCATGCTGCGCCTCGTCTCCTCCCTCACCGCCTTCTGCGTCAGCCCCTGCCCCAGGTCAGTGCCCGCCTCCTCAAACAGCTGGTACCTGCGGTGGGGGTAAACAAAAAGGGAGGGACGGGCATGGGGAGGGGAGGGAAGGGTGTAGGGGCGTGCCTGCCTTCTCAACCCAACCCAACCCAACCCAACCCTCGCACAATATACAGCCACCCACAGTGATCCAGCCCCTCAATGCTTTTGAGGCGCCTAAACAGTGCACCCACAACAGTAAAGCCCCTCCCTGCTCTACAGCCCCCTACTTCACTACAATCCCTCTTGTCCCCTAAGTAAAGTGCTCCCTAAAGCGCAGGGGCTCCAGAGGCGTCTCAAAACAGCGGTCAGAAACCTTTGAAGTGCCTTATAGGACACTACAACCTATTACTAACTCCAGCCGAGTTTTTGAGGCGCCTCAACAGTCATGAGGGGCCTCAGAAGTGCCTTAAAGGGCACTACAACCAATCATTCACTCCAGCCGATCACTACATTACACCCACATTGCACTCTCTCTCTCTCTCTCTCTCTCTATCTCTCTCTCTCTCTCTCTCTCTCTCTCTCTCTCCTCTCTCTCTAATCTCGTCTCTCTCTCTCTTCTCCCTCTCTCTCTCTCTCTCTCTCTCTCTCTCTCTCTCTCTCTCTCTCTCTCTCTCTCTCTCTCTCTCTCTCTCTCTCACGTCACTCACACAGCTTCAGTGGGAGGCTCCTTCACGCGAAGGGGTTTCGAGAGGCATCTTGACTCCGCGGTCATTGAACTTGTATACGAGCGTGTCCACCGGCTCATCATCCCCTCCGTACGACTCGCACAGCAGCACGGACTGTGTGGAGGGAAAGAACAAGAAGTTCAAAGAGGGACAAGGGGAAACAGGGATTCACAAGCATCAGGGGTTTATCGCATCTTGACTCCGCGTTCATTGAACTTGTACATGGGTCGACTCAGAACGAGTCCCCTGGCAACTGTCCTCCGATCCATTGTCCCCTCCGTACAACTCACACAGGAACACAGACTGAGTTATCTATTCTGAAACCCTCCCTTACTCCACACCCACCTGCTTGGTCTTGATCCCAGCAACCAGGGGTGCGACAGCGGCAGCAGCAGGGCCGGTGGTGGGGGGCATCATGAGCACGACAGCGGCGTTGCGGCCGATGCACTCCACGAGCTCCTGTGTGTCGGCGGCCTTGAGGTCCATCATCTCCACGCCGCCCCCGCCTTGGTGATGCCACGCGCAATGCACTGCGACAGCCGGTCGCTGTACCCGTAGTCGCTCACGTACAGCACCGCTATGGACGACTGGGGGGGGGGGGGAGGGGGGGGTGTGAGAGAGGCGAGGAGGAAGGGGTGGAGGGGGACGAGAAGCGGTATGGAAAAGGTGATGCGCCTCCCCTTGACATGCCTGCAGTCACTCACATACAGCACTGCTATGGACGACTGCAGAGAGGAAGGGGTTAAAATAACGGGTTGGGTGGAGGGGGGTGGAGGGAGGGAGGGGAAGGGGACGGGGAAGGGTAAAAAGGACGCAAGAGGGGGGAAGGGAGGAGAGCGAGGGGGAGAAACGGAGAAGAAGTGGGATGGGGAAGGATTAGGAGATTGATCGATTGGGCAACTTGAGGGGACAGAGTGGGGGGAAGGGAAGGGGAAGGGGAAGGGGGGGGGGAGGGGGGGGGGGGGGCGGGGGGGGGGGGGGGCCGGAGAAGCAATGGGGGAAGGGCAAGGTGGGAGGGGAATGGAGCGCACATGCAGTGAGTTGGTACCTTCTGTTCTTCTCGATGGCGGCCTTGCTCCACTGCTCGTACTTGAGCGTGAGCTCGGGCACGTTGTAGCGCAGCAGCGGGGCCGTGCCCCACTGCGATCTCCGAGAACTCCCACCCTGCGGTCGCGACCTGCCATAGAGGGGAGAGTGGAAGTGAAGGGAAGGGCAAAAGGCATTGGGAAGGGGATGTGTGGACAGGCTGGCAAGTTGTAAGCAGCAGCGGGCCGTACTCCCCCGCGATCTCCCTTTGGTCGCGACCTGCCATAGAGGGGAAGGGAATATGGGTATGGGTTTCAAAGGAGGAAACGGAAGGGGGGAGGGGATAGGGAAGAGGATGGGGGGAGGGATGGGGAAGGGGAAGGAGTGGGGAAGCGGATGCGCATATGGGGCAATGGGGACATTATATGAAGCTGTCTTTGCTGGGATTTTGTGCTTTAATGCATGGGAAAGGGGAGACGGGGTGTGAGGAGAGGGGGGAGAGAGAGAGGCAGGGAAGTCGAATGCGAGTCCAAAAGCGAAGGAAACAGAGCAACCGAGGACGATGCAGAGCGGTGCGGAGCAGTTGTGGGGTGCAGGCACGCACCTTGCGCAGGGCGGTGAGGGGAGCGCGAGTTGGGCTTCATGAGGCAGTCATAGTAGAAGCGGGTAGTGCGGCTCCAGCTCGCTCAAATCCTCGTCGTACACCTGGCACGCAAGCAGAAGGGGGTAGGGGAACGGGGAAGGTGGCACATTGAAGGAAATTTGGACATATGTCCAAAGATCTGCTAGCACATTGAAGGAAGGAGAAGCAGCGAGCGAGGGGGCGTCGTGCGGCTCCTGCTCGCTCAGATCCTCGTCATACACCTGGAAGAGGGGTGTGTGATAAGTCGATATTTTAGTCGACTCAAAAATCGACTCATCACAAACAGCTCGCTCAGATCCTCGTCATCGTCATACACCTGAGATGGAAGAGGGGTCGCACGGGCGCGCAAGGTTGGGGGAGGGGTGGGGGGGGGGTGGAGAAGCAGGCACAGTAAGGAGATGATGCAGATACAGAGAGAGGATAGAAGCGGTAGCGCGGCTGCAGCTCGCTCAGGTCCTCGTCGTACACCTGGAGGGAAGGGGGGGAGGGGTGGGGGGTAGGGTGCGCAAGTGGGGGGTGGGGGGTGGGGGAAAGGGTGCGTAAGGGGGGGTGGGGGGGTGAGGTAAGGGTGGAGAGACAGGCACAGTAAGGAGGTGATGCAGAGGGATTATGAAATCCAGCTCGTACCCCCCGCCCCCCTCTTCGCCCTTTCCAACCTCCCCTCTTCCCTGCTCCCCACCTTCCCCCAGCTTCCCCGCGTGACCTTTCCCCACTTCCCCACCAGTAACCCCCAATCACCTTGGGAATGGAATCCCCCGCGCACCTTCTCGGAGCAGTAGTGGCTACCGAACGCGTCGCACGTGAACATGACGCCCGTGCCTTTATCGAACGTGAACATGGTGTCCGGCCAGTGCAGGTTCGGCGCCATGATGAAATCCAGCTCGTGGCCTCCGCCCAGGTCCAGCGTCTTTCCCGGCTGCGCCACGAGACTCTTAAACGGCTTTAAGACTAGATTCTGCAGGAACTGAATACACACTTTCGACCCGACGACGGTTATGTTGGGGTTTAATTCGATTAGGTCTCGGATCAGTCCGCTGTGGTCCGGTTCTGTGTGGTTCGCGATGACGTAGTCGATGTCTTTAATGTCGATTTCGGCTTTAAGCGCGGAGAGGTAGAGCTCGCGGAACTTCTCGTGCGACGCGTCGATTAAAGCGACCTTGTCGGGGCCGCGGATGATGTAGGAGTTGTAGGTGGTGCCCTTGAGAAGACCGAATTCGCTGCACGGAAAGAAGAGAGGAGAAGGGGAAGGGGAAGGGGAAAGGGGAACGGAAGGGGGAGGGGAATGGGAGGGGAAGGGGGAGGGAGGGTGAGTCCACGAGTTGTAAGTGGTGCCACCGAACTCATGGCACGAAGAGAGAGGAGAGAAGAGGGGTTTGCAGAAGCGAAGGAGAGTACTGAGAACGAATTGGGGGACGAGGGGGAGGGGGTGGAAAGGTGGGTAAGGATAGGTAAGGGAACGTAGACTAACGTGCTATGTGTGAGAGCGACGAAAGAAGCACACATATGTGACAATAACGAGGGATCTACACGTAAGTGGCGTAACTAGATTCACACACGCAAACGTGTTGTACACGCCAACGGACGCGGTCCCAGTCGAGAGAGCGAATGGTGGTCGTATCCGCATGTATGAAGTAATGTTTTGAGACGTCTCAAAACGGTCGTGTGCACAAAGACTAGACAACGTACATGTCGAAACGGTCGCGGTCCCAGTCGAGAGAGCGAATGGTGGTCGTATCCGCAGCGATGGTTGTCGTCTGGGTCTGAAGGTGAGATTTGTGTGTGTCGCACAGAGATTCGGTCGCGCATGCGTGTGGATTTTCGAGGGCCAGTAGATATATGAGGACATCAAGGAACATGGAACAGGCAAGGACTTCAGGCTGCATGGTTCTGTCTGAACATACGCGTACAGGTGAGCACAATTCGCTTACTGAAGAAAAAGTGCATGGTGAGTAAGTGCAGGAATCAAAGCGTGGAAATTCCTGATGTTAGCTCCTGTGACAATGTCAGCAAAGTCAGAAATATCCTTTGAAATCATTTGCGGTTTTATAACGTTCCCCTGAAGCCAGAAATGAAAATACTTGTCCTCACCTGCAGTCTCTTTCCCTGATCCCACTTCACGATTTTCGACATCTTCGTCGGTGCTTCCGTCGCCACTGCTCGGACCTCCAGCGACCGCGCGCGAACATTCTGCGAAGCTGCTTGCACGCATGACGTAGCGGAAAGCTGCGTTCCCAAAAGCTCGGAGCTAAGCTTCTTATGCACGGCAGCGCGAGCCGAAACACTGCTGCTCCTGCTGCTACTGGACCCTGCGGATAGTTGCTTCACTGTAGGGACCTGCACTGGAGCCGCAACGGCAGCTGTTCCCACAAATGCCGCCATAGCGATTTGCAGATGGGAGAGCTGCGCTAGCGTATGCTCGAAGCGCACAGAACCTAGAAGTCGACGGCGGCGGCAATATTGTGGACACTCCAGATAAAACTAAGATAATAAATGGAGTTGAGTAATAACTGAAATGATAAGTCCTCGAGAAAGGACGTAAGCGGGAAAGCGGAAGCGGGAAGGCGCAAGCAAAAGCGGAAGGGGAAGGGGAAGAGACAGCTTTGGGATTGCCTTGCCAAAAAATCAAGGGACAGGGGAATCCGGGGGAAAGAAAGCCTTGGGAATGAACGGTGGGCAGAAATGAAGGGGATGCACGTTTGGGGCTTGCCAGGTCCTGGAAATGAACGGTGGAATACTTTCGTGAATGCGATCTCTGTGCAGTCTGAGCTGGTGCTTGCTGGATAGCGAGTTGGTGCACGTGTCCAGCTGCCACCTCAGATAATTGGCTGCCTGCATAGACAGGATTTTGGCGACAGGGTGAAGCCACGTCATCGCAACAGCTGGAGGCCGCCATTGTAACGATACCACAGTGGGCGAATCCTAAACCGAACTGGACCGAATCATTTGCAGACGAGAAAAGCAGAGCCCGCTGTGCGGCTTGTTGGGAGGTCCGAACTGAACCCTTGCCACAATACATTGCATGATAAGCTACACAAATAATATTTTCAACGTGGATATTCTTGCTTAATTAGAAGGAACATCAACAGCTATATTTCATGAACAAGCTACCTTCTCTATGAATATCTCTAATGGCCTTGCACCTGTCTTCCTAATGCTTGAGAAAGAAGTTCAGCTTTTTCAACTTGAAGCACCTCAACCTTGGCCTTGAGTGCTTGGATGTAAGTCAAAGTCTCACAAAGAAGGGCCTCCGTCGTCACCCTTGTGTTACACTGGGGTATCGCCTTCTTCAGCTGCTCCAACTTCAAGCTGCACAATCACCAAATAACCAACACAAAGAAAACAGAGATTGAGACGAAAGGCATCATGGGAACCACAACAAGCAGCCTCTCTGCATGCAACAAACAACTTGGCCAGTGCTGCATGATGATGTTCTGGTCCGCTGAAGACCTACACTGACGCTTACCTAATTCCGTTTCTTCGCTTCCTCTCTGCGACCGTCCGTGGCCGAGACGACTTCCCCCCCGCTTCCTGCGCGTCCAAACCCTCTACCTGCTCCCCACCCGATCCTCCCGCGCTTCCAGTCCCGCTCAGCCCACCAGCGCGACCCCCCACAGGGGAACCCGCGCCGACCGGAACGCGGAGATCCCCCGCGCCCATCCATCCGCCGCTTGGCGCGTCTTCAGGGGAAGGAGTGGCGGGCAGCACTGTGCCACCAGCGTGACGGGGGGACTGATGATGGGCGCGGGGCGCGGCTTCGCGCGCGGTAGCGCCGCGAGGAATCGTCGCCAACCAATCCGGGGAGGCAGAAGCAACGCCACCCGGAGGGAAGGCGAAGAGGGACGCGGCGCGGCGGAGGGCGGAGGTGGGACCGCGGTGTCCAGATTGCTGTTCTCCCCCGAGCTCTCGGGAGTTTGCGCGCGAGGAAGCTGCGCGGGATAAAGATGGGAAAGAGGAGGACGTCAGGCAGAGCTACATGCGGCGATGCGAACGGGATGAAATAACTCGAACCGAAAACAACGCGCAGATCGGTACATGTGGTCCTCCCGAAAGAGGTTCTAGACAGCACGAGCGCTAAAAAATATCCGAAGGTGTAGGGCTCGCATAAGCGGACGAAACGGACGCAAACACGAATCATAGCACAACGGTTCACCTTCCGATGTGCCCTCTTCCGCTTCGCTGGCTTAGTAGCGCCGTCTTCGGCCGCCGCCGCGCCGCCGCCTCCGAGCGGCAAACCCACGCTGAGGCGGAGGTCGAGCTCAGGGGCGCGCGCTGAAGCTCCGCCAAGGGGAAGTTCCGCATCGTTCCCCGGAGACGCGGGCAGCGCCGCGGAAGGGAGGAGCTGTAGCGAGACACCGACAGGATGAGGGTCTTCGATCCCCGCAAGCTGCGGCGGCGGATAGGTTTGCTGCTGCAGCTGAAGCTGCCGCAGAAGCTGCTGCTGCTGTTGCTGTAGATGCTGTTGTTGCATGTGCTGGATAAGCGCGGACGTCAACGCGGCGTGCTGCTGCATGGTCGAAAGAGATCCGTTGTGATGGCTTGCGGCGACGACGGACGCGGGATTAGCAGGCTGCTCTGCGTCGTTCATCGCGAGAAACGGCGTTACTGGTCCTCCAGCCTTCTCGCTTATGACCGAGTTGGTCATAAAGAAACTGCCACACCTGACTGCCTTGTGAGGTATGTGGTCGCTGAAGTGTCTCCCAAAATAGCCCAAGGTTCTGAAACCAAAATGGAATTCGACTGTTGTCCCTAGTACGTGTAAAAGCATGCGGGGAGGGGGGATGTGTGTTGGTTTGGAATGGGTGGGAGGTGGTGATGGTGATCTGATGAGGGGGGCGAATGGCAGGGCTCACAGTTATGACAAGGGCGGGCATGCACACAGCTCAAGTGAACTGACTTTGTCGTTAGCCACTGGATAGAGGGACCATTCAGCATGTGGGACTTGAGGAGCTTCACCCATTGGCCCACACGCAACGCAACGCAAACCAGGGCAGCAACGTCCGTCCGTCGTTTTGCTCCGTGGGTTAGATTCGAGCCGAGGTGGACTTCCCACTGGCATGCCAGTGTGTGTGTGGCTGGGCTCGGCACTGACTTCACTTTGGTTGGTCGGTTCGGGAGAATGCCTCGCCCCACCTGGTTCTGTTCACGAAGCTGAGTGACAAACCGAGCCATGATTCTGGGCGTTGGGGTCCCTGCATGCAAAGCAGCAAATTCCGAGCCTGAGATAAGGTTTGGGATGTGTGGAAAGCAGTGTGCATGGGTCTCGCCAGCGAAGTTCGGCGCTTGGGGCTTTGCCTTGGTTCATCTTGAATACAGTACTGTACACAACATAGACCTGGACGCACCGCATTCGCACCTGAGTCCACCTGAAATTTACACAAATCATGGGTGAAACTTCGGGTGCGTCTTCTACACGTACTACGGTACAAGGGAACTGCCCCAGCCCCAACCATCCTTCTGCCCCAAGCTCTGCTAGGACGTGGTCCCAATCGACTTTGATCGGATCAGATTGATTCGGGTTGGATTGGATCGAATTGCTTTTGATCGCTTTTCTCGCGCCGCCCGATCAGAGCAGATTTTCGTCGAAAGCTTGTCGCGCCGCGTGACTCCATTGCCTGGTAGTTTCTTTCCAACTTTGGCGAGACTGGCGACCGCGATGTATCGTGGTAACCTCGCGACTATCGCACGACACACAATGTTCGCTCTTCAACCTTCTCGCCAGTATGTAGGTAGGGAGGGATTTTCGGGACCTTTAGTTATGTGTGTAACATTTCGCGTATATCGCTCAGGTCCCCGATCACATGCTATCAAGTGATCGGGACTGATGGTGTCTGATCGACATTGATCGGGCTGTTTGAGGCGGTTGATCGAGTTGGAGCGATCAGCTGATCGCGATCAGCTGATTGCCCCTGATTGCCTGAAATTGGCTTCCCGCCTTCCTCGAAGTTATTGATCGCCTCTTATCGCGCCGATCAAAGTCGTTTGGGCCCACGTCTTTCGCGAAGCGATTGGCTGCTTTCAACTTGTACAGCATGCATGCAAAATGACGTGAACAGAAGAGCTTCCTTCTCATGATGAACGATGCTTGCCTCATGAAAGGAAAGGACGATGAGGTGGAACTGTGCAGTACAACGCGAATTTTTGCACACACCCGTGCCCTGAGTTGGGCAAATCAGGAATAATTAGAGGAAAAAAACAAATACTAGAAACACCTCCAAATGGCCTCCATCCTCCAGCTGCCACTACCATTGCTTCGAATCATGTGGGAACTATTTGTGTTCTACAACACCAGTTCCTCTACAATGTGGATCCCCCCCCACTGATTTTATTCGGGACAATCCACCCAGATTTATCGTGCCTTCTCAGAAGGAAAGTCCCGCACCGCTCAACTCCAAGGAGCATTGCATTCCATGCCACAATCTTGAACGAGCCAAGCTGGCCCTACAGTATGGAGTTGTTCAAACAATTGGTGCTAAAAACGAGGTCCATTCAATGTGAGGTGTAAAGAAATTCTTCTATCTACACTCCAGAGATTTACAATATATATTATTTTTTAATTGTGCATATATCCTTGGGTTTCTTGAATTAAGGTTTAGCCCAGCCCAGATTTGTATATGCTTCAGAGGGCATCGACAAGAACGGTGCATTCCTGGTTACCTGCATTGAGGTGGGTGTTTGATAGTGTGACATATTAAAACTCTTGCCTATTCTGCACCTATAGCGAGAAGCCCGAGAAGATATATCCCTGATTCGCACACTCTGTCAAACTCATAAGCTGCGCATTGAACTGTTGTAACATAATTCACCTATATCGAGAAGTCCAGGAGGATAATATCGGTTTGCTAGTTACGGCAGCTTCGGTCAAAATGACGTCAGGTGCTTCGGCGATTGATCAGCAGTGGTCGCAAAGGACAACGCTGCCCATGAGAGATCACTGTTCTCGCTGTAACTTATGTCGCGAACGTCAACGTCGAGCCATAACGTGGGCCGAGGACAGGTGGCGGCGAGCCAGGCGAATTGAGAGACTTTTCGTCACGCCATGACCGTCCAGTTCGATCGCTGACGAAACACCGCCTGGAACGGCCCACTCGCGTGGTCCTCTGGTGTATTCGAAGCGCGCGAGGAATGATTGGTCGGAAGAGTCCCGCGCGGCAGAACTACGTGGCCCAGCCCACCAATTTCATGCGTACTGTATATCGCATCATCAATTTCTGACTGCATCCCGTCCGTTCATTTGGCTTTTCGCGCACGATCCTAACCGTAAGAGTCCAATGTTTGCTATCGCTGGCCCACAATTCTTTTTTTTTTTTTCCTTTTCCTGCTGCCACCAGAGAGCATCATTTCACTGCCTCTAGAACCAAGGCCAGCAGTGACGTAGAAACCACGAATGACGGGGGAAAGGATGGACCTGCAAGTTCACAATTCGTTGTGCCATAACCGTTCTCACGAATCCTGTCAACTTGGCACAAGGTTTCTTGCTCCCTGTAAACGCGTCTTGTTCAGCTTCTTGTGATCCGATTCCGACGGGCTGTCATGATCGCGAAGTCTTCGATTAGAATCTTCTTCCGTAAGCAGTCACGACAAGCGCGGCTGCGAAGAAAACTCAGCAATACAGTCAAGAGGTTAGCAGTCAGATCAGTGAGAACGATCTCATAAACAGATTTGTATATCGCTATTAGTACTAGATTTAGTGACAGAGATTTTTCCAGACCGAGCGCGACTTGCCCAAACTGAACGCGACGCAGCACTTTAGACTGACGCGGCTATGGCGGGTGGCGGCAGCTGCGGCGGCGGCGGCGGCGGCGGCGTTCAGGTCTATAGCCACGACAATCACGACAACGACGACGACGACGAGGCGCAGTTGATCCGCTGCTGCAGCTCATCCAGACGTCGCGCATGTGGACCAAAGAGGTGCGCCTCGGCCGCCATTCGGCGGACACGTCATCCGCATGACGCGCATGCGGACACGTGCGGCCGTCGCGCATGCGGACACGTCGTCTGCCTGTCGCGACGCCCGTGCTCTTCCTCCTCCTCCTCCTCCCCAGATTCCTCATTCCGAATGAGTATTTACGTCTTGTAGCGACGAACAAGGGACGAACGCGCGGACCTCGCTCTGAGGAATCACGAACAGCCATTTGTCGTTCCGCGCTGACACCGACGCGGGTGATTTTTTACTCGACTCAAGAAGCGGTATCTTACCGGCTCCATGCGGCTCAACTTCGACGCAATACCACGTCGCGTAGTTAAAGGGCGCGCTGACGCGCGGCGCGTCGACCCCGCCGCCGCAGCCTTTCCCCGCGCCTCCGCTGCGTCCGCAGATCACCGCCTCTGTCTCCCCAACACCCCCACAGCGACCCGCCCTCTGCGGAGGACGCGGTCGTATGCGGCGAGTAACGGTTAGGATCAAACGGCGGGTAGTGTCTGAATCCGACGGATAGAACCAAACCTTCGTCAGCCTGAGCGCGCCCGCACTCGTTCTCCCGCGCTTCCACGCGCGGATGCGAATTTCTTCTTCCCCCTCCCGTGCGTCCGCCTGTGCTCCTCCTAGTACTCCCCCGCTTCCGCCTGTGCTCCGCAATGCGGGATGCGAATCTCCGTTGGGCTCTTGCGCCATGCAATGCGCTGATGGGCTCTTGCGCTGATTGGCTCTTGCGCTGATGGGCTTTGGTGACGACGCAACGCTGCAACAATGCGCGTTCCGCCGACCAACCCCCAATCGTTCCGCCGTCCATCGCTTCTCCGTCCCGCCGTCGGCGAGGGCGCGCCGCCGCCGCCGCCGCCGTCTCGCTGCCGGCGGCAAGCGAACTCGCATCGTGTCGTGTCGCCAATGCCGGCATCGCATCTATCCGCATCAGGGGAAGGATGAGGGTCGCAAGCCACGAGGCGCCACAAGTACGGCCCGGCCGTCTGTAGATGGGGTCGGCTTGCGCGTCGCGCGGAAGTGCGGCGTGACAAAAGACGGCGAAGCGCGTTAGCGCCTCGCTGCGCGTAACGGAATAGCCTCTTTAAGCGGCGGCTTCGCCCCATTCCCCCCCAG